TAGGAGGGGGCAGGCCGCAGGCCCCTCTGCCTGGATGTGAATCCATCTGCACCAACTGCTGGCTGTTCCAACTTGGCCAACTCAGCTCTCCAGGCCTTGTTTCCCCCCCTGTAAAATGGAGCTCATAATAGCATCTACCTCAGAGTTTTGTTGTGAGGGTTAAATGGGAGACCACCTAATTTATCATCCAACTCGGGACCATTTTTGAGGGGGAAAGGGGTGCTGGTAATAATCATGCTCAGACAGTAGATCTCCGGCAAACTAGGACATGGGGTGAGCTGAGGTTTCAGTCAGGTAATACCTGAGACCTAGAAGCCATTCTGCAAATATGTAGCTTCTATCATGTTGTTCAACCGAGTACTATGCAGAAAGCCAGTACATGAAACAACTCCAGAATGGGGTCTGCTCAGTGACCCCCTCCCACGCTCTCGGGGTGTCAGAGCCCCTAAAACTCGGCAGAGCAGTTTGAGAACCATAGAGATTCCTGTCAGCTCTCCTGGACCATGAATTCCGATTCCCTGGCCTGCTGCCCCTCTTGCCACTGACACCGGATCCCTCTGACAGCACACCCCCGATGCGAGTTGCCTCATCCTGATCCCAAATGTCCCATCAGCCCTTTGACCAAGGAGAGAAGATTGGCTGCCCCCATGGGCTGTATGGGTTGTGGATTTCTTTTTAAAAAGTATTTTATTTATTGGGGCATCTGGGTGGCTTAGTCATTAAGCATCTGCCTTCGGCTCAAGTCATGATCCTGGGGTCCTGAGATCGAGCCCCGCGTCGGGTTCCCTGCTCGGTGGGGAGCCTGCTTCTCCCTCTCCCATTCCCCCTGCTTGTGTTCCCTCTCTCTCAAATAAATAAATAAAATATATTTTTAAAAGATTTTATTTATTTATTTGACAGAGAGAGAGAGACAGCGAGAGAGGAAACACAAGCAGGGGGAGTGGGGGAGGGAGAAGCAGGCTTCCCGCGGAGCAGGGAGCCCGATGCGGGGCTGGATCCCAGGACCCTGGGACCATGACCCGAGCCAAAGGCAGACGCTTAACCGACTGAGCCACCAGGCGCCCCTTGGTTGTGGATTTCTTTCCCCAACCTCCATTTGCATATGGTGTGCTTGTGTGTGCAGGGATGGGGATGGACGCCCTTATGTCACCCTGAGAAGGGACAGTTCCTACCATATGATTAGAAGAGAAACCGAGGCAGCGTGGTTAAGCAGCTGGGGGCAGGGTCCCTTCTGAAACCCTCCCCCTGCTCCTTGCCCCAGGGAAGGGAAGCAGCCCTAGGTGGCAGCAGTCTGAATGTGGCGGCTTCTTGCCCCAGTCTAGGTCAAGAGTGCACCAGGAAGGGGTCCAGGCCGGGAGATGCGGTCCGGGACAGGGCGTTTGTGGGGCCCCAGGCTGGGGAAAACTGGCGACCTGGAGGATTAAGGGGCCAGAGGGCTGGATGGTGCTGGGATTAAACGTCCCTTGAGAGCCTCTGGCAGCTCTTTTCATGGCGGAGGCAGGTGGGCGGGAGCCGAGGGAGGGTCAGCCCTCACTCTGCGTCTTCTCCTCCCCCTGAGGCCAGCATCCTCTGCTCAGGCTGAATGTGGGCTTGGCCTGCCCCCTCCCTCCACAGTGCTGGGCCCTAGTCAGGAGGCAGCTGCAAGGATGCTCCTGACTCCTGGCTCCCCGCTGGGCCCCTGCCTGTGGCCCTTTCACAGCCCACTGTCCCCAACTCCCCCCACCACACACACACACCCGAGCCCTCGTCAGGCTGCCTGGAACCCGCCCAGACCTCATCCCGAGAGCGACCCACTGCTAAAACTGGATGAATCCAGGGCTTGGGGGGAGCTTTGGGGCCTTCAGCACATTATTAATGAGGAAAATTGCATTTGTAGGGTTTCTTTTCCCAAAAGCTCCAAACCACGCCCTATACCTGGCCTCGAAGGAGTCCCAAAGGCAGGAAGTGTGCCCAAAGGGCCAGCCAAGCCCCTGTTACAGGGTTGCTCCCTGCTTTGCTTTGAATGAGGCAAGAAGAGCCGGACACTGAGTCTCCGCCCTGGCCCTGCTGCCCTGCGTTTGCTCTAACCCGCTGCAACCTGAGGGGACGCGAGGCACGCTTGATAGATGAGGCAATTATGGCTTGAAATGTTTACTCTGTATTATACAAACTCGTTAGTGGCTGAAACAAGAATGGGATTTTGCCTTGCTCCGTGCAGCCTCCTTTTGAAGCTCTCAGTTTTCTTCTGGGGCAAGGGACCTACCTCTGTCCACCTTCTGCTCACGTCCTCTCTCTCTGATTCTTTCTCCCTTTATCTCCCTCTGCTCCCCGCCCCCACCCCGCCGTGCCCCATACCCACAGTCTGCCTCTGCTCCGGCCCTCATCCTCCCAGGTGGTGGGGGTCCCGGGGGGGTGTAGAAGGTGTCCTGTGTGGAGCCAGCCCCTTCCCTGCCTCTCCCTCCCCGCTAGGCACCCTCCGTCATCCCTGAGGCCTCATTATTAGGGTAGTGATGACCCCCATTGTCTGGCTTGTCTGGCCCTGGCACGAAAGGTAGAGTTTTGGCAGCGAAGGGAGACTTGGCCTGTTCCCAGCTCATTCTCCATAGTCTGGAGCCTGTAATGTGCTGGGGGCAGGACTGGCAGGGGTGTGGGGGGCTCCTGGAGCCACAGGGCAGCCCCTGTCACTAGGACAACAGCAGGGAGCCCTGGAGGGGGGGAGGGAGAGCTGGGGAGCAGGTGGTTCTTTGTCTGGAGCTAGAACAAGGGGAGAGGGGCCCTTGCCTGATCCCAGTCCCCCACCCCACTGCCCTCCCAAGCCTCTGAGGCAGCCCCTGGGAGGGGATTGGTGTCCCTGCTCTTGAATGAGAGGCCACTGGGCTTCCTCCCCCAGACCCGGTCAGAAGAGACTCCGTGCTGCGGGTATATCACTGCCCCCCTGCAGTGCTCATAGGGGGTGGGTGGCACTGGGGGGAAAGTGGATTTCCCCGGGACTCGGGGCTGCTTCTCCATCTCCACCCCTCACCCCCACCCTCAGCCCACCCAGCACAAGGGGCCATGTGAGGCCAGGCCGGTGAGTCAGGAGGCCTGTGTCAGCCTGTGGGGATGCAAGGGGGGGTCCCAGGTACCAGGAGACCCTCACCGGCTGTCATTGCCACTTTCCCATCCAGGCCTCACTTTCCTATCTAAGCATCGGGGGGTCAGAACTGTGGCCGTGTGCGGCTCTTTCCCGCTTTCAAAATCTGTGTAGGGTGGGCCCATGAGCCCCCCTCCTCTCCCTCCCCTCGCCTCTTTGATCCTTCACTTTTGCTTCAGAGCCCCAGAGCAGCCCCTGGAGGATGAAGGTCAGTGGCCACCAGTGCTAAGCCGCCGGGGTGCAGCATGCTGTTTGCCAGGCATGTCCCCTACCTCTCAGTGCTCCTTTCCTTGTGCCTCGATTTCTTCATCGGTAATATGGGGCTAAATAGGACCTGCTTCTGGAAGTTGTTGTCGGGGGTCAGAGAAATTACAGACATAAAGTGCTTAGAAAAGTGTTTGGCCCCATGAAAACAGCAAATTTTTATTCTTAAAGATCTTTACGGTGCAGGGAGTCCCTGCGTTTCCTGAAATACTCAGTGGTATGAACCAAATGGGTGTCATCCCTGGAACCTGGTCTTTGGAATGGAGGGTGGGGACACATGCCAATTTTTAAACAAGCCTTTTAGGGATGTTGTCCCTCGTTGAGTTCTGGGAAGAATTTAAATAGCCCAAGACTTGTGACTCTTGGCTATTTCTTTTGGGTTGTCTTAGAGGTACTGCACACCGAATCAGCCTTCCTAAAATAGTCTCCATTGACCTTCTCTAGAAAAGGGGGGAAACGTGGGCTTGGTCGTCTGGGCTCCCCTATCCTGCACACAAGGACATCCACAGTGTGTTTGCCTTTTGAAATCTCAGCCGCCCCCTACAACGTCTGGAGGCACAGCAACATCATGTGGGGAGGCTCTTGGTGGACAGGATAGCTGCCGACATTGGCGAGAGACGGTTCTCGTCATTCTCTAGCAGGGCGTGTGCTGGGGGGGCTCTGTGAGGAAGGAGGGCCTGCAGAAGAGGCACGGAAAGGCTAGGGACTTTTCTGGGAGAGATGAATGAGATCCTTTTCTACCTGAACCGATGATACTTTCCCTGGAAGATTAGTACCCTTCTGTTCATCCAACACCCACTATGTATCTGCCCAGGAAATGTTTACCGAGTGCCAGTCATGCCAGGCTCCTGCTAAATCCTGGGGTACCCCTGTGCCACCAGCCCAGTGAGGAGGCCCAGGTAGGAGATGAGGGGGCCGAGCAGGCTGGTGGCCAGAGGTGTGTCTGATGTGTGGGGGAGGGGGGTGCAGCCCGAGCAACCTGTGTCCTGGGGAGTCCTGAGACTGCACAGAGTTGCTGGGCGGGGTAAGTCGGAGTCTCCCTGGGAGATGAGGGGGCAAGGGGCCCCCAGGCTGAGGGACGCAGGTGTGCAAAGCTGCACAGTATCTCTGAGGAGCCCCACCCAGGCCCGTGTGCATGGCTGTGGGTGTATGTGAGTGTGGGTGTGAGAGGCGCCGGCAGGCAGGTGCGGCCGGATTTGCAAGGTTGGGCCCCTGCTCCCTGCGGCCCTGGGGACTCAGCATCCCCCACTGGAGTCCCTCTGGCCCGAGTCCCAGAAGTTCCTCTTCTTCCTCCCCTCGTTGCCTTTTCCTTCTTGCTCTTCCTCTTGTCCAGGGTTAGGATTAGGGGTGGACAGGAGGGAGCTTAACCTCTCTGAGCCTTAGTTTCCCTATCCACGCACAAGTTGATTGGATTGGGCGATCTCAAAGGGCTCCAGGGCCTTCTAGGTCTTTAAGTGGTTGTCCATGCCCTATTTGGATGTCTCCCATGGGGGCCTTGGACACATCCCAGACGAGTCCTGGGCCTCTTGGTAGAGGGGCTGGGGACAGGAGCCAGTGAGTGGTGATGGAGACGGGCACCTGCAGGGCCCCACTGACCCCCCTGCTGTCTGTGCTTCCCCCTCAGTTTGACCCTGGGAACACAGGCTACATCAGCACAGGCAAGTTCCGGAGCCTCCTGGAGAGCCACGGCTCCAAGCTGGACCCGCACAAAAGGGAGGTGCTCCTGGCTCTCGCCGACAGCCATGCAGACGGGCAGATCTGCTACCAGGATTTTGTCAGCCTGGTGAGCACTCTGGGGCCCTGACCGCTGGGAGGGGTCTGTTCGGGAGTTATGGCTAAGAAGTCCTCTTTATGCGATTAAAGGGATCGGTTGGCTTGCAGCGTTGAAGGAGTCCAGGCCTCAGAAGGACTCGGTTTCTCTTTGTCTTTTGGTTCTGCCTTCTGTAGTGTCAGCATATACCCAAAAAAGCCCCTGGCAGTTCCAGACTCGCCCATGTGACAGCAAAGTGGCTGCAGCTTTTCCAGCCCTTACACCCTCAGGCCTCACCATGCTGGGCAAGAGAGGGTCTCCTCTGTGGTAGTTCCCACACAAAGCTTGGGATTTCCTCTCTCCCCTTGGCCTAGATTGGGTCAGTGGGATGTGTTGATTGACTCAAGCCCACCCCATGGAGCTGGGGGTGGGGCCAGTTCCACTGAGAGGGAGGCTGGGAGTAGGAGGTGGGAAGGAGGGGAGCTGGGGAGTGGATGTTGGGAGCACTGGGCACATGGGTGAAGGCCAGAGCTCCTCAGACCTGCTGGCTGATGTCCTGGTTTGTTGGAGGGGCTGAAGACAGTAGGCCTGTGAACCAGGGTTTTGGAACAGGGACTTCCTCCTCACTGGGGGCTACTGCTGTGCTGTTATGGGGGCCACTGTGGCGAGATGGGAGTGGGGTTCAGCAGGAAGCATCCCACCATGGATGGCTGGCACATGAGTAGAAGCTGGATGAACTAGCAAGATGAATACAAGGCCAGAAGTTTCCTCTCGGTTTCCCTGCTGGTGAAGTGGAGATAGTCACCCCTTTTCTTATCACCCATGGAGGGATAAGAGTGAAATGACTTGCATGAGGTTCCCCAGGCTCCTAGAATTCAAAGGCACCAGTGATGGGGGGGCCCAGGTGCCAAGTGCCGAGTGAGCTCTCTGATCTGGGTGTCCAGGCTTTGGAAATGTTCTCATTGCCTCTTGATCGAAGCCTGCCTTTGCCCAGAGACTAGCATGATTGCAGGGAACAGCTGTAGCGCTTTTAGGGGTAAAGAAATCTGTTTGGAGTGGACCCAGAGAGCAGACCTCCTAGAGGGTGGGGGACAGAGCTGAGCTAAATGGGGGAGTGGGGACAGTCAGGATTCATGGGAGGAGGGGCAATGGAGGTGAGCCTGTAACTTGGAGCCCAGCAGTGCCACCAAAGACCAGGCCACGGGTTTGAGCCTGCATCAGCTCTTCACAGCCCAGCATGCTTGCTACACGCCCTGCTCAGGCTCAGGGCAGAGTGCAGGCTTCTCTGGGCCAGTGGGATGCTTCTGTCCAGCTGCAGGTCTGTGGGGTCTCCCGTGTGAACTCCAGCAGTAGATGGCTAGTTCCTGTTGGGATGTCTGGATTCATGTTCTAAGCTGGAGCAGCCAGCCAGAGCCTGGATTCTTGTGAGTGGGGCTGCCCTGGAGACCAGGACTAAGGAGCGGCTCTCCGGGAGGGAAGCTCTCAGGAAGGCAGAGTGCCCAGGGGCTGGAGTCAGGCAGACCTGGGTCCTGCTTCTGCCTCTGCCTCTGCCTTTCACGGAGAAAGATCTCCTGAGCCTGGGTTTTCTCATTTGTTGTTTTTTGTTTTTTTTTTAAGATTTTATTTATTTATTTGACAGAGAGAGACATAGCGAGAGAGGGAACACAAGCAGGGGGAGTGGGAGAGGGAGAAGCAGGCTTCCC